GTGAGGAAAAGCACAAGGATTAATGATAAATATTCTCACATAATCCTAATCTCAGAATGCTAACCAGATCAATCAAAGGCATTTATAAATGGAAGTTCCAATTATTATTATTCAGTCAACAACTATTATATTGGAGCATCTACCCATATGCTAGCATTTGCAAACCACTAGGAAACAGTGGTGAGAAGAGAGATCAATTAAGCCTCTGGTCGATTACACAGAATTAATTAACTTATTACTGCCCACTTTATAGACTGTAAACAAGTTGATAATTTTCATAAAAATGACCTTTAAAATATATTCAGGAGATGGATTGTCATTTGAGAGCATCTATTTGTCTCAATATCTTAAAAAAGGCTTAGCCCCTCCCCCTGCAAAAAAGGTTGCCAGTGGGCTGCCTAGGTCACCAAAGTCGATCCATCTATCTATCCATCCAACCCACCCCAGCCCATCCACATCCATCCATCCACCCCACCCATCCATCCATCCATCCATCCATCCACCCATCCATCCATCCATCCATCCATCCACCCACCAAACACATCCATCCATCCATCCACCCATCCAATCCACCCATCCACCATCCACCACCCCCAGCCATCCATACCATCCATCCATCCCAACAAATACTGTATTATGTGCTAGACACTGTGCAGGCACCAGGTTTTTAGCACGAAAACAAAGCAGAAAAGGTCTCTGCCTTTGTGGAAACTACATTCTGGTTTGACCGTCGCACCTTCCTGGAAAACTGCCTGACCTGTGAAGTAGATATGCCACACCCAAAACACAGAAAAAAAGCTACAAGAACCTTTCAGCCAAAATAATCAAGAACAGTGCCAAAACATGAGGCTCAACTGATAGGTCCAAGTGGTTTAGAAAACATTAGTGTGAGAATTAGAATTCACAAACTACCGAGGTTAAGTTTGATCTTTTCCTCTGTCTATTCTGAGGTGAAAAGCAAGAGTGTGAAGAGGAAGAAAAGCCATGGGTTAGAATAATCTGCAAAGGAGAGAATCTTCACATTAATGATAAGTTAACAACATAAAAGAATTAGAATCCTACAGTCCATTTAAAAAACTCTGTATGGCTTCAGCATTAGCCTTCCTTCAAGGGAGATTTTATCTGCCTGAAGTTCTTGTTGTCATTGAAAACAAAAAATAACACCACTCTCAGCCAAATTACCTTTTAGTTTTTCTGGCAATCAAGTCTTCCAATTGCATGGCAGATTTGGGACACATGCACTACCAACTGGATCAATATATTTTTAAATCATTCCCCCATAGTCTTTGGAATCTGCATAGTTTATATAAAAATTTAGGCAAATTGATATTTGAATCCGCAGGGGTTCTAGAATAGCGGAAGCTTAAACATTTTTCCACTATATTTTAATGCATATGAAAATCATCCACTTTAAGTAAGAAATGTTGGATATTAGTTTTTGGACAATAGAGTATCAAACACGTAAAAATCCCAACAATGTGCTTATTTAAGAAAAACCTTCTGCCATTTTGCTGTTGCACTGCACTTTTACATGGAGAAGTGGTCAGTAAAAAATTATGTCCACTTACAAGGCTAGAGAAAGTAAGCAAGGTTCCAAGTCTGTAAGAGTATTTCATAAACACAATAGTAAAAGAATTGCCATTTGAAGAGTAAATACTATCTCCCAAGCACTGTGCTTGGTGGGTGCTTTAAGGACATCATCTCATTTGATCTTTATGACCCTGCAAGGTAGGTGTTAATGACCCCATTATATGCACGAGCAATCTAAAACTTTAAGTTCTTAAAATACTTGCTGAAGTTCTTAAAGTACTAAGTGGCAAATCTGGAATTTGAACACAGTTCTGATTCCAAAGCATATGGTCTTTGGTCTCACTCCTAATTTCTAAGGATTATGAAGTCTATTATTCTGATGGTGTTTTCTGTCTTTTCTATGACATACTCTAAGAGGATTCTCTAGTCACAAAGAATCATTGAACAAAAAATGCATTATGAGAGATTTTCATTGTTTACCGTCAGAGCCACACCTGAACTGTTTCATCAGATGAGACGATAATGCTTTTCAAATGCTAAAAAGTTTTCTGAAGTTGTTCTACTACAGCCTACTAGGTAGTAAGCTCTGTATGGAATAGGACTGAGTCTTATAACTGTTGTGTCCCTACGTGACAGCCTGGTGTGATTTCTGTCATACAGTACATTTTGAATAAATACTGCTTAATAAAAAAACGAGTAGTTGAATCGTCTTTGCTAATTTAGTCCAGCATATTAGATTTATCATTAGACTTCTATATTAAACCATCTGCTCAATTTCACTAAACAAAAAAATGTGAAAATGTTCTTTTTTTTTGTTTTTGTTTTGAGATGGAGTCTCGCCCAGGCTGGAGTGCAGTGGCGTGATCTCGGCTCATTGCAAGCTCTGTCTCCCGGGTTCACGCCATTCTGCCTCAGCCTCCCTAGTAGCTGGGATTACAGGCACCCACCACCATGCCTGGCTTTTTTTTTTTTTTTTTTTTTTTTATTTTTAGTAGAGACAGGGTTTCACTGTGTTAGCCAGGATGGTCTCTATCTCCTGACCTTGTGATCCACCCGCCTCGGCCTCCCAGAATGCTGGGATTACAGACGTGAGCCACTGTGCCCGGCCGAAAATGTTCTTTTTTTATGAGAGCCTTATGAAAAATGAAAACTATCATTTCTTTTCCTATGAACCATGAGAAGTCTTAAACTATAATTTAAGGAACTTCTATAAAGCGTGTGCAGGCTCACTTATTGATCAGTGTATTGCTAGACTTTCTGATGACACTATATAACTAGGAAGAATGTATCAAACTACAAAAATAAATACACATCATGATCAATACAATACTTGAATTCACTGCTCTATTCTTTTTCCTTTTCACTGATATTTGTGCCTAAAACATGATTTTCATCTGTAGTAAGACAAATTCTGAGAAACAAAAACAACAGTAGAGAAATGCAGCAGTAAAAAAGCAACAAATCTCATGTGCTATCTTTTTAATTATTTAAAATAACATAAATCAAGTCTGTTATTTATGATATAGGGAGGCTATGTTGTGAGAAAGCCGAGACACTAATATCACAAAGTAAAATAATTCTGAGATAAAGTCATTTACATTTTATATCACATAGATAGAAATATAAAGATATATAGTCCTAGTTATTTTGGGTGAACTAATGTTAAATATAAAGTGAGATTCACATCACACAAGTATAGATAGAAATCATGTGTGGTATGGAAAAATAACAAATAACTTACAAAGTGAATAATCCACAGATGAATAATTGAGAGTTGACTTGATATCAGGTCCAGTATCAGAGCTGACTTGATATCAATGACTATAGAGAGTGAATTATCTTTTCTTTATAAAATATTAATTTTTGATAAATTGCATGCTTTTTAAAAATGTCTGGTCAAAATTAAATTCATTTAATTAAGCTAAGTGTTTTGAGAATTAATAAAAATGAAAAGGCTGGGCGTGGTGGCTCATGCTTATAATCCCAGCACTTTGGGAGGCCAAGGCAGGCAGATCATCTGAGCTCAGGAGTTTGAGACCAGCCTGGCCAACATGGTGAAATCCTGGCTCTACTAAAAATACAAAAAGTAGCTGGGCATGATGGTGGGCACCTGTAATCCCAGCTACTCAGGAGGCTGAGGCAGGAGGATCGCTTCAACCCAGGAAGCAGAGATTGCAGTGAGCTGAGATTGTGCCACTGTACTCTAGCCAGGGTGACAAGAGCGAAACTCTGGAAAAAAAAAAAAAGAAAGAAAGACAGAAAAAAAGAAAGAAAGAAGAAAAGGAAGGAAGGAAGGAAGGAAGGAAGGAAGGAAGGAAGGAAGGAAAATAAATGTTTAAGAAGTTACTGCCTGTAATCCCAGCACTTTGGGAGGCCAAGACAGGCAGATCACGAGGTCAGGGATTTGAGACCACTCTGGCCAATATGGTGAAGCCTTGTCTCTACCAAAAATACAAAAATTAGCTGAGTGTGGTGGCATGCGCCTATAGTCCCAGCTACTCGGGAGGCTGAGGCAGGAGAATCACTTGAACCTGGGAGGCAGAGGTTGTAGTGAGCCTGGACTACATCACTGCACTCCAGCCTGGGCGATGGAGCAAGACTCCATCTCAAAAAAAAAAAAAAGTTACTAAAAGAAAAAAATGTATCATAATTAAACTAAACTATATAATCCCCAAATAATCCTCTGGTATATTTTTTAAATTTCTGCAGTTGTTTTAAATAAATGTGTATTTTAACTCCCTCATATTGAAAGGAATTTTATAAGCATGAAATACTCACCTAAAAGTGCATTTTTTCCATGATCATCCGGTAGAAATCGCTTGTCCACAGCACAAACTAGGATGTGTTCAGGCAGATTGGGAGACTTGGCCCCCACCAGGAGGAATCCTGCTGGGATGTCAATTTGTTCCATACACAGTGATACCAAACGCAAATCCTTTCCTGCTTGACAAAAACCTAAAAACCAGTTTTAAAAAAAAGGACACAGTGAAATGTTTAGTGAGATTATATCTTCTTATCACTCATTTGGAGAGTAGATTTACTTGTGGGAATCACCATTAAACACTAAATTAAAGTCCCTATATCCCTTTACTCCAACCAGAAGACAAATCTATCAAGTGTGGCCTTCTGAACAAAGCTGAAAAGACACTGAAAGGAAATATTACCCTCTGCTTCACTCCAAAGTGACGACTTCATATTTTCTTTTTCTTTTCTTTTTTTTTTTTTTTGGTGCAATCTCAGCTCACTGCAACCTCCGCCTCCCAGGTTCAAGCGATTCTCCTGCCTCAGCCTCCCAAGTAGCTGAGATTACAGGCACGCACCACCACACCCAGCTAATCTTTTTTTTTTTTGTATTTTTAGTAGAGATGGAGTTTCACCATGTTGGCCAGGCTGGTTTCGAACTCCTGACCTCGTGATCCACCCACCTTGCCCTCCCAAAGTGCTGGGATTACAGGCGTGAGTCTGGTCCACAAGTGAGGCAATGATAAATACACAACAAACTTTGAAAACCATGCAGTTTGTATGTGCATGTAATAGGGTTATTTTACTTCCAATGCAAATTCACTTCTCTAGATGGGGATAGAGTCAGAATAGATACTCTTTATTTCACAGAGGAAGAGACTGAAGTTCAGAATTTTGTGGCTCCTAGATGAATGGGCCAAAACTGTTACATTTCACTTTTTACCATGATATGACATGACAAGTTGCGACAAAATCTTACATAACCACTTTGTATATCATAATGTATTCTATGAATCCATCTGTTCATCATTTATAAAACAAACATTTACAACAAATGCTGTCCGAGACCAGGAGATACAGAATTGAACAAAATATGTCTTCCTCCAAGAACTCACATTGCAGTTAACTGGAAGAATGTATAAGGAACCAAGAATCACAGACAGTGTTACAGGGAACAGCGACAGTTCTGCTGCAAATCTTCTGGGGAATGATTCTGACTGTACTCTAATCATGTGACCTCCTCAGGGAGTTGTGACACTTCAAACTGATGTGGAGCTAGGACCTGATCCAGCTGGGCCACTTTGATAGCCCAACTTTCTGGCCATAGTTGATTGGTCCAAGGGTAGACGCATGACATAAACAGGGCCCATCAAAGCCTGTTCCCTAGAAAATCTGAACATGGAGCCAAGGAGAGCATGGCTCAGTCTGCTTAGTGCCAGCCCTGTTCCTTGACCTGGGAGGGAACTCCGTCACCATGGGCAGGAGGCTGAAAGATTGTTCTGGAGGTGTCTGAATCCCTGAGTCTGCTGTATCTGCCTTTCCCAAGGTTTGGCCATGAAACTTTTTCTTTGGAAGTCTTTCAGTCATGTCTTCATTTTACCTAAGCCATTTTCAGTTGGGTTTCTGTCATTTGCAACCAAGAGAGGCTGAATGAAAGTATAATAAATGCTATTTCAGGCCAGGTGCAGTGGCTCACACCTGTAATCCCAGCACTTTGGGAGGCTGAGGTGGGCGGATCACTTGAGGTTGGGGTTCAAGACCAGCCTGGTCCACATGGTGAAACCCTGTCTCTATTAAAAATACAAAAAAAAAGCCAGGTGTGGTGGCTCACACTTGTAATCCCAGCACTTTGGGAGGCAGAAGCGGGTGGATCATGAGGTCAGGAGATGGAGGCCATCTTGGCTAACATGGTAAAACCCCATCTCTACTAAAAATACAAAAAATTAGCCAGTTGTGGTGGCGGGCACCTGTAGAGACAGAGCTTGCAGTGAGCCCAGATCGTGCCACTGCACTCCAGCCTGGGCGATAGAGTGAGACTCTGTCTCAAAAAATAAACAAACAAACAACAACAACAACAACAACAAAGAATTAGCCGGGCATGGTGGCACATGCATGTAATCCCAGTTACTTGGGAGGCTGAGGCAGGAGAATCACTTGAACCAGGGAGGCAGAGGTTGCAGTGAGCCGAGATCGCATCATTGCACTCCAGTCTGGGCAACAGCGTGAAACTTGCTCTCAAGAACAGGAAATGCTATTTTCCTGTTTCCATTTTCTGAAAATGCTATTTCAGAAAATTTTGGAAGCAAGGAGGACACCTACCTTTCCATACACAAACCCTAGGAAAGCACCATTATCATTGCCCAATACAAAATAGGGAAAAACCATGCTAGATTCTCCTAGCATCAATTCATGTTATGATTTTAACCAAGTGTCAAAAATCATTGAATGCCATCAGTTACTGGCATGAGAAATAAAAAAGAAAACACCATCAAAACATTGGATGAGGCCAGGTGCAGTGGCTCACGCCTGTAATCCCAGCACTCTCGGAGGCCCAGGAGGGCAGATCGCTTGGGTCCAGGAGTTCAAAACCAGTCTGGGCAACATGGTAAAATCTCATCTCTACAAAAAAAATACAAAAATTAGTCGGGCCTGGTGGTGAGCACTTGTAATCCCAGCTACCTGGGCAGTTAAGATGGGAGCATCCCTTGACCCAGGGAGGCAGAGGTTGCAGTGAAGCCAGGATTGTGCCATTGTACTCCAGCCTGGGCAACAGAGCAAGACCCTGTCTAAATTTTTTTTTTAAAGAAAAAAATTAAAATTAAAATTGAAAGAAAAATATGAAGTGGTGGGGCATATTAAATTTACCATATAGTTTGGGTCATCAAACGTCAAAAACAAGCCTAATAGAAGTGGGAAAAGACAGTAGAAGAATAAAATTATCAAGACTACAGAGCTCAATCATTTCAAGCTTATAGAACCCTTTTTAACATTAACAAAAGTGAATTTAAGCTCTAAAAGTCAATTTAACTCTAAAAATTCATGAATTAAGAAAAAATACAAAAACTTATGACTTCTTCAGCAATTTTAAATGAATCTGCATTTGTTCAAAATATCATTTATATTGATCTGGAAAATAGTCATTAAATATGTGGGTCATATTACTTAGTTTACAAACATTTTTTGAAGCCTATTTGATACATGGAACCCATAGGAAAATAAAATTGCTGTGCCCACCCACCTCTATTAAGGAACAGGCTCACAGGTTTGGAAGTTGGGAATTGATGATGATGATGATGGCAGCTAAAACTTACGGAGCACTCGCCATAGCCAGGCACAGTGCTAAATACTGTGTAGATTATCTTATTCAGTCCTCTCAACACTCAAGACTGGTACTATCTCCTTTTCATAGATGGAGAAACTGAGGCTCATAAAGGTTAGGAAACTTGTCCAAGGTTACACAAAGAATTCTGTAATGCTCAGGATGTAAGACAGAGGAAGTCTGCCACAGTGAAAACAGACAAAAAGCATACTATTTAACTTGGCAAAAGAGAAGCTAAGAACAATTACAATACAGTCCTAAAACTGTGACGGGTGAACACAGACTTTTTCATCAAATTCTAAAATACTAAATCTAGGAGTCATATTAAAGTACCAAAAGGAACGCTAATTTATTTTAATCAAATAAGTTACTAATTTGCATATAGACAGTAAACCTAGGTTTACAGACATAAACCTAGTTCATGATTGGCCTATTAATGGAAAGCAGGATGCTTGGGGAGCTATCTCTGTCACTGAGAAGTAGTAATACAATCTTTCTACAATGTTGACTCACTCTGTATTAGAAAAAGTATACCAGATGGAACCACAAGTCTGTATCAATTTGCAAATTATGTTATATGGAACCTCAAGATCATCTAATAAAGCATTTCTCAATATAAGTGGTGAAGTCCCAGGGATTCATAAAAAATGTTCCAAGATACTTGGGAATAGTAAGTGAAATTTACATAGACATCATTATCAATTTCTAAAAATGAATAAATAATTAGTGTAAGTATCCTACTTTTAAAACAGAATGTTCTAAGGGTCTTTCATCTAACACATGTAGGGTTAATGGAAACCAGCTGAGTGAGCTCACAATTCACTCAGTCAAACCCCGTATCATTGTGTGGTTTTGACTATACAAGTTCAGATTGTTTTCATTTTCAGTCATATGTACTGACATATTCCTTAACTTATACACAGAACAGGCTGTTGGTTAAAGATGGGAAGCTCAGGAAACTTTCTGTGTTAATAACACAAAAAAAGAAATTTTATAAATGTGCCTAAATTTGCTTTTTGGGGGAACATATTTTCTGGGAAACTGTACTTTTAAAAGCTCTTTGGTAGATACAAAAGTTAAATTCATTCACCACACTCACTCAACAAATTAAAAGATTGTATAAAATGAAGCAATATGTTTTTCCAGGACATCAAAAAACAAATGTTAAAAAGGTAAAAATTTAGCGATTATAATCCAATTTGGCTTTTAATACATGAGGAAGAAAACACTGCCTCTTTCAACTCTATCAGCAGTTACCTACAAACAGCAGCCTACAACTTTTCCATCACATAGAACAAAAATGCAAAAATTATCAACTACTATACCCTTTAACCGTAAAATGTAGAATTTCCAAAATTTAGGCATTAAAAGTAGATTTTGACTTTAATGCTGTAAAACATTTAAATACATTTAGCTCCTCTC